ATTGATTAATCGATTAATTCAAAATCCATTAATCGATTAATTTAAAATCGATTAATCGATTAATTCAAAATCGATTAATTTAAAATCAATTAATTCAAAATTGGTTAATTAATTAATTCAAAATCGATTAATTTAAAATCGATTAATCGATTAATTCAAAATCGATTAATCGATTAATTTAAAATCAATTAATTCAAAATTGGTTAATTAATTAATTCAAAATCGATTAATTTAAAATCGATTAATCGATTAATTCAAAATCGGTTAATTGGTTAGAATCACGAGCCCTAGTCGAGAAATTCGCCCTCCGGATGCGACATACGTACCCACTTGAGAAGCGTCCGAGGCATCGATATAGACGAATCCGCCGATTGATCCTCCGGAAGCAGGGGTCCATGCTCGAGAATGTTTGACTTTATTGGGAGGAAATATAAGAGTGAACTGGCTATAGTAGTGGCTCACGGTATTCCCGGTACGCCAGGAATCAGAGGGAGGGAACGAGGGTGATGGGGGACCTGCAGCACTTCCAGCCCGAGGGGGAGGATGAAAGTACGCGGGGCTGGGAAGGATTCGTTCATTCATATCGCGAGGCCGGGTCTCTCTCGCTCATTGTCGGAGCAAAGCGACGGACAAAGCCGAAAGCGGGGGACTGGAGTGCTGTCAGGACCAGTGCACTCCATCGCATGACACAAATGGCAACCAAAAGTGGTAGCCGGGGGGTGATCGGGACCCGAAAGGCGAGCCCGCACCAAGAAGCGATCTGTCGTGTCCCTCCATTGTACCGCGATCGATCTCGCGGAAGATATTCGCGAGTTTTTATTTTTAACCTTTTTTATTTAAACCGACAATGGGAATTGTGCTCGCGCCCACTTTGTCTTCGCGAGCAAATTTTTTTTCCCGATCTACGCTCGTTTCTAGCTCCTCTATAATATATATCGGCGTTAGAATTATTTATGTCGGTTATTTCTGGTCAAAATTACACGAGAAACTACAGTTTTTAAAATATTCGTATGAGAAAAAAATATCTTTAGAAATTTAATTAAATATTTTTATTTAAAAAAATGTTTTTTTTTTTTGAAGAATTTTGCTTAAGTTATGTTCCAAAATTATTTTGCGATTTTATGAATGAAAATTGTTCCTCTCAATTTCTTTTTCCTAACTTACGTTCGTTTATATCTCCATTATAACTTTATATATCACCATTACGATTATTTACATTTTATGCTTAATTAAGCAAATTTAGTTCTTTGAAAAGAAGGAAAACATTTTTATTTTCTAGTATTTTTAAAAACTGACTAGGAAAAGTATAAGAATAAGAAAAAGGAAATTCCTGGTTACAAATGTAAAAAAAAAAATGTTTTAGTAATTCACTCCTCGTTACTTAATAATCATTTAATAATTGATAATTCACAAAAATTTGGCATTATTTATGATAAAAAATTACATGAGAAACTATATTTTAAAATATAAAAACGTAGATATTTGAGAATCGCCAGACAGAATTTAAAAAAGTAAAACACTTCTCTCGACCGTACTGGCAAATATTATTTATTAAATTACAACGTTTTGACCCTTCTTTGAGTCCTTATCAAGTGATTTGTGAAAATAAAAATAAAATTATAATTTTAAAATGTCAAGAACAAATATAGTGTCGGTTTGACAACACGTCAAGACTCTTAGACGAGTTATGAGAGACTGACACTATATTTGTTTCTGACATCTTAAAATTATAATTTTATTTTTATTTTCACAAATCACTTGATAAGGACTCAAAGAAGGATCGAAACGTTGTGATTCAATAAATAATATTTGCCAGTACGGTCGAGAGACAAGTTTTACTTTTTTATATTTTAAAACTTATTATTATCATTCGTATGAGAAAAGACAATATTTCCAGATTTTTTTATATAAAAAAGGTTCCTTTGTCGAAGAACTGCGCTTAATTTATCTCGCAGAAATATTTCACGATTTTATATCAATTTACAGATCTCGCGTCGCGAGTAATGAAAATGCGATTCTCGATTATTTCGATCAGAGGATGTAATTGCGTGGCTTTCCCACGTGTCGCATGCACTGCAGATGCCTTAAGGGTATCAAAAAAAAAAAAAAAAAAAAAAGAGAAACAGAATACTCGGTGCTGGTTGAAGCTGTCGATAACAGGGCGATTAAAGATATTAAGTTTCTTCTTGGGACGTTATTACGCTGCCATGTACACTCCTCGACACCGCAGCTTTCCGTTTGGACCGAATAATTACAAAAGAAGCTAACTGATCCATGTGTGTTTGTGTGTGCGAGAACGGTCGCGTAATAGAAATTCCTCTCCCGTATTACGTACAAAAGTGCGATATTCAAGTCAAAGGAAAAACGCTCTTTCGGAGGAATGTTAATCCATTTACATATCGATCCATTTTTTGTGTCCCTCTGACATTTCTCAACAATTTAATAATATATAATAGAACGATTTCAATCGGTAAATAAACGAGTTCTTATTCATTCATTTGGGTCACCAGCTTTGACATTTTACAGTTAATAATATATGAAAAATTAATAAAACGATTCGAGCGATAAACGTGAACGAGATTTTATTATTTGCTACCTTGTTAAAGACCAAAGATCGAGTAACTACAGTTATAGGAATCGACGATATTGGTATCTCGTTTGACAAATGAATCAAGGGGGAAAAAGGGATAAAAATTCCTCCTCTCGATAGTAAGGCACTCTATTCTGGGTAAGTCATTCAAAGACGCCATTGTAAGTCACTTCAGCCTTTTTATTGCGAAACGCAAGTAATCACCGTTAATTGCCGCCGCCCGATCGCAGGGAGCGACATTTACAAAGGAAAAACATCGGTTGCATTTTAATACAATTATAGTACACAACACATCGGGAGATACAGCAGAGAAAAGTAATATTTACATACATGTGGTTTCGATTTTTCAATCGGTGTGCTCTTCTCCCTCTCTTTCTCTTTTTCCCCATCGCAAGACGCGATCCAATTGGCATTATTAATTTGCGCCCGCGAGAGAGAAAGAGAGAGAGAGAGAGAGATAGAGATAGAAAGAGAAAGAGAGATACTATATATACATATATACGCCACTTGTGCTCGTGCAGGCAAGAGAATTGATACCGCAGTAATTTGTACTAATTAACCCATCCGCGATATAATATATGCCTCTCGTACTCTCTCTCGTTATTGTTACAATGCGCACACACATATTATTCGACGTCGCGCTACGTCGAGTATCCCTATTAATTATCGACGCGCACCAAATCGGCGGCAACAAATGCAACACGCCGGAGAGATACTCGGTAATAATATTTAATGCTTCTGGCGCCGCGCCTCGTGTCGACTTCGCGTGTCCAGCCTCCGGAGAGTATTTTTTTCTCGGGGGAAAAAAAAATTCGATATTTGTGTCACGGGGGAATGCGAAATACGGAGGATCTGGCGGCTGGTGGAAAAAAAGATCGGTACTCCTGAATGATTCGGAAAATATAAATGTTTTAAAGAAAAGGATTTGCAGGGTTTAAAAAGATCTATTTATTAGTCTTAATAGTTTGACCTTGGGTGGCGTGTTTCAAGGTCAACTCGATTTTTTTTTTAATAGAACTACTGAATACATACGCGAGACTAAAATAAAAAACATTTCTTACGATTCAATTTCTGGCTGTTTAAGGGGATCCTTCAGCAAAACGAGCTCCGACGAAATAACAGCACTAATATCCAAAACATATGCACAACGCAGGCACACATACGTACGAATCGTATTTCTAATTACACATTTTTATTAGACTTCTAATCCAGATTTAGAGGATTACAGTGCTTTCTTTCGTGTTCTCTAATTCCAGGGAATGTGCTTTTTTATTTGTACAAAATGTATATGGTTTATATAAAGCATATATTATGATGAGGTTGACAGTTCGTCTGCAATTCGAGATGTCATATCGAGATGAAAATAAGTAAGGAAAACCGTTATTTCATATTTTTTATAATATAAAATCGAGATTCCCTGGGATTATTGATGCATGTATTGTAATTGTAGAGAAGCATTTTATATTCTGACAAATTAATGCAGAGAAATCCTAGAAGTACGAAAATATACGACTGTGTCGATAAAACAGATAATCGTGAAGGATCCCTTTAAGGTTAGGTTCACTTTTTATACAGTGAATATACAGTTTGAAAAATCCTCCACAATGAAAGTACTGATAATAATGAATGGGGAGCGCTATTCTTTCATGTGATCTCTATTGGGAGCGCCATATTTTGTGCACAAATAAACTGCAGAATTTTTGTATTAAATAAGTATTGTTATGAGCTGATGCAAGAGGCCGATAAAGAAACTAATTTTTAAACTTTTATTGTTTTTTTACAGCGCTCCCCGATCATTATTATCAGTACTTTCATTGTGGAGGATTTTTCAATCTGTATATGCAATAAAAAGTGAACCTAACCTAACTTAAAGTCGGTAAAACAGAACAAACCTTAACTCTGATAATTTTTCATAAACAGAATGTGACAACGAATCTATTTACACGAAACACTTAGAGTATTTAAAAAATTGAGTTGACTTTGAAAAAACGCCACCCAAGATCAAATGGATAAGATTAATAAATAGAGCTTTTTAAATTCTACAACTTTTATTTGAAACATTTTTTCATAAAATTTATACTTTCCGAATTTTTCAGGGATACTTTTTTCCATCCGATATAATACTATTAACGACTATTAATAAAATGGTGTCTCGCAACTCTGTACAGAACGGATTATTACATTATACAACAACGCAGCGGCTGATGAGATAGAAATTTTAGGATTCAAGCGTGTCTTCTTCAGGGTCGGTCCTGTCGTTTGCTTGAACGAAGAGAGACGGCGAATTATCGCGCCGGAGAGTGCCAGGATGAGAGAAAGAAGTACGCTTGCTTTTTGTTGATTAAAATATATATAAATAACTTTATTGTGTTTATGTATATATTTATATTTATATATTTATATATATATATATATATAATAATAATAAAATGCCCTATCTATTTTACAAATATACAAAACTCTCGCTATATGTACATCGATCTCTTTTTTTTTCGATTGAAACAAGAGAACTTTTTTTAAATATATCTCGAAGAACTTTTATAATAAATCGATCATCGATTAAACTCTATATCGTCTCGAGTTAGAAAGAGGAAAAAACGTTACGTTTCGTTGCAATACGAGTTACACGGTAGTATGCTTCAAGGTTTTTACCTTTTTATTTTTTTTTTTTTTCGGTTTCTCGCGCTATAATTACATTCGCACACTACGAAGCTATCACGATTCTCAAAAATACGAATAACCGCTTATTTTATTCGGACACCGTGGTTACGGGTACAATTGCAATAGTAAGAAATGCTTCTGATAATAAGTAGAGAGAGAAAAGTCGCGACAGTCAGGAGTCCTGAAACAGAGAAAAAGAAACAGAAAATTACGTGATTAAGTGTGTAAAAAGTGATCTTTTATTAAACCTAGAGTAGTCGCGATGTTAAACGTTAGAGATAGATGACATGTGTCATCATTTTTAAACGACGAATTAAAATATAAAAACATATTATTTAAATACATGTATTAATTGAACTGAGATTTTAAAAATATTTAACACAGGATGTCTACTCAAACCTTGTCAAAAAAATTTCTGATAATTGTTCGAGTTTTCAGGTATTTTTGTTACAAATTTATGTAAAATAAAAAAATTTATAGATGCAGATTTTTTAAATAATTTTCTTTCTAAAATTTCCTATTCGTACGATTGCAAAAACAGTTATCACGAATACACTCTTTCTAGCAATATTAATTTAATCATGAAATTAATTTGAATGATAATAAAATGCAAAATATCTCTTTATACGCTGAAGATATAAATATGCAAAAATATAAAATAAAAAATAATTTATCTAATATTCTTATCAAAAAATAATTTATTAACAAACGCCCTAACGAGTATTAATTTATTTAAATATTATCAAAATATTGAACAATTTTCTATGAAAATCATAAGATTGATGCCTTGCTAAACAGAGATTGTCAATAAAATCACATAAGATTAAACAATTTAAAAAAAAATAAATTTGCAAAAATATGTTGGGCTATCAAAAATATTCGATGCAAGGCTGTAAAAGAAAATTAATTTTAAGTTCTTTAAAAACTAAAAACAGCCTATTTAGTTTAATAATAAATGCATTTTCTTCTATTCTAAAAAATAAATATATCTTACAGAACACAAAAAAATTAAATTTTTTTAACATACACATACGATGTATATATATGTATATGATTGCTAAATTGACTAATTAGCGGATTATCGATCGCTTGTAATATGTGAATAAACTTATCAAAGACATTTTTGAAAAAATTCCCCAAGCGCCAATAAAATTCCAGGAGAATTCCCGGCTTTTTCAAGGTAAAAAATCCCTGACTTCCAAAAAGTAGACCTCCTGTTAGCGTATAAGAAAAAAAAAAATGCAGATTTGTGCAATAATATCGCGCGACCACTCCAGGCTTAATTACGCGTTAGATGCAAGATGCGTTTTAGATGAATAATTGAAATGCATTTCGTGTTTACCGTCGCGCGCAATATGCGATGCGATGCAATTATTGATCACGCAGAAAGAATTATTCATTAACAATAATATATTGCGTTAATAAATCCAAATGATAATAAGAGCGGTTTATTATTGTAATGAGTTTCAATAAGCGAACGATCAATCGTTATCTATAATCGTTCGGGAAATATACTGCATTATGTATAGGTTTTGTTTACACAGATGGAGTACGATTACAGTGCCAAAGCTGATTATTATTACTGTGCGATCAGTATTCACGAAATATACATATATATTTCCAATCACTCTTTCCTCTCTGATATTTATATTAAAAGTTGTCTAATTAAAATGTGATGACGGCTCACCTTTCCTCGTTGCGATTTCCGGTCACTCCTTACGTAACGCGATTCAATAATACTTTTGGGAATGGTTCACACATCTGAAACACACAAGATTCAAAAATAATTATTTCACAGGAAATTTTTTTTCATCACATTATGCAATAAAAATTTATTACAAGAATTTCGTACAAAAGTATTCAGACGAGCGACACGAGGATAATTATATGAATTTTTTAATACAATGAAAGAAGAATGTCGGAAAAAGTGCAGGAGATGAAAAACTAAAAGACCGATGCATAATAAGGATAAGTGGAGAATTAGATAGTCACAGTATCTTTCTCTCTCTCTCTCTGCATCTCGCGAGAAGCATTCTATGGTCTCTCGGGGGAGTACACCTGAATACAAAAGATCGCAAACTTTTTCCCGGCTGCCGCCGAGATAGTTTTAACAAGTTATATATTTATTTATTTATTTATTTTTTTTTTTTAATTTTTCCCACGACGCGAAAGAAAGAACGACGACGCTGAAAGTTTCGCGCGCGGTTTTAGAAATGCATTTAAACTTCCGCTTGGTTGTGCTCCGTGTCAAAATGCATTTCCTTTTTGCCGTCGCCGCCGCATCAGACGCGGGAAGGGATGAGATTCCTTCCGCGCGGGGGGGTGAAGGGGGGGTCGAGGGGGGACGCGCGCGCGAGAAAAACCGATGCCGCGCATTTGCGCCGGTGTCACGGGCGGAAATGTCCGCCGTTTTGAAATTTTGCTAGCTCGAAGCTACGTCACGCTTCGGCGAGCATGTCGAGCGACGACACAAAGGGCGGAAAAATCTTTCCCCCCTTTTTTTTTTTAGGAAGAAAAAATCCCGGCGTCTCTCTTCAGGTATGATTCAGTTGTCTTCTTCGTCCGGGAGAGGGAGCCAAAGTATCTCATATTAGAAACTCGTGTTTTAAATAATTTATCTCTCATTGGACTCACGACTAATTTTCATTAATAATTTTAAACTCGATTTACAACTCAAATATTATATTAGCCTCGTAATTATATGAAATTGTAAGAGAGAGAGAGAGAGAGAGAGACCTTAATTACATATTGCGATATAGAACTTCGGAAACACGTGGGGGGTTAATTTCTTTTCTAGATGAGGGAACGTGTAAGACACAGCAAACATCAAAACTGAGATGTACAGGCTTGTATATATATATATATATATATATATATATATATATATATATGTATGTATGTATATATAGTCGTGTCTAGGCAATACCGTGCTCGACACGAGAGAGGAAGGGTTGTTTCCGCCTGCCTGGCTTCCGGCGCAGTCGAGGGGGAGGATCGAAGCACGGAATCCCCCTCTCTTTCCCCCGTCTCGCGCGCGAGGGGGTGAAATAAGAGAAATTTACTTACGTCCGCGCGAGTTTAATTAAACGCTCAAAGAAATAAATATAGTCACATCGCAATTCATTGTCACTTCTCAGAGAAGCCCCCCTCTGCCCCCCTTTACGTATTAATTATTTTTTAGTCGCGCGCGATCGCTTCGAGAGAGAGGGAAGGAGCTAAAAGTCGAAACGCATTTTTCTCTTTTTGCTCGCTCTTTCTCTTCCCTTTTTTACGGGGGGGGGGGCAAAAAAGTGCATTTGCTCCCCTTTTTTATTTGTTTATTTTCTTCATTTTTTTTTATTTTTTTAAATATTTAATATGCAAATATAAATTCCAGTGTTTATTCAAAAAGAGAGCGAATACTTAATTTTTTTACTGATTGCAATAGGGGGGAAGGGGGGCAAATGCAACCTTATGCCCCCCTATAGCAATCAGTAAAAAAATTAAGCATTTGCTCTCCTTTTGAATAAACACTGGAATTTATTTGGAGAGCAAATGCTTAATTTTTTTATTGATTGCAATAGGGGGGCAAATGCACCTTTTTGCCCCCTATAGCGATCAGTAACAGAATTAAGCATTTGCTCTCCATTTGAATAACACTAATTTATTTGATCATTTAATATAAAGAAAATAAAAATAACAAAAAAAAAACGAAGAAAAAAAATTAAGAAGGGGGCAAAGGCACTTTTTTGCCCCCTATAGCGATCAGTAACAGAATTAAGCATTTGCTCTCCTTTTGAATAAACATTGTAATTTATTTGATCATTTAATATAAAACAAATGAAAATAACAAAAAAAAATGAAGAAGGGGCAAATGCACTTTTTTGCCCCCCTATTGCAATCAGTAAAAAAATTAAGCGTTTGCTTTCCTTTTGAATAAACACTGTAATTTATTTGTATATTTAATATAAAAAAATAAAATAACAAAAAATGAAGAAATAAAAAAATTTTAATCGTGCCCCCTTTTGGAAAAAATCCTGCGGACGCCCATGCTTGCGAGGTAAATCGACCTGGTTTGAAATACACACGAGGAAAAGCCTCGAACGAGCTTTCCGCGAACGAGCTTTCTCGAAGAAAGACACTTTCGACTCGAGACTGCGAGAACAACCTTCAATTTTAATGAAGCGAGAGCGCGGATACGAGAGAGAGAAAGGCGAGCGATTCTCCGAAGAAAGTTTCTTCCCTCAGGATCGCTCCTTAAAATCCTGCAGGAGGACGGGGCGAATTTCGAAGCGGCTCTCTGAATATTCCGAGCCGAAAGTTTCGCCGGAAAATACGCGGCTCCGCGAAAGAACCCGGGGAATAATGGCGAGGTCTCCCTCCTATTGAAGAGGAGTCCGTTATTAATTCGACCGATCCGATCCGATCCTCTCTTCGCCAGGTATGGATATACATATATACGTGCACACGAACAGTATATTATACGTCCGTCGCGTATAATAACAGCGCGCGGATAATAACGCGGGCCGCGCGTGAATTTTGTAGAATAATCCTGTCGGGGATAATAACGGTACCGATCTCTCTCGCGGATGCACCTATGATGCACCGACGGTGCTGGTTCAATTGTCGAATCGCGCGATTCGGTTAATAATCGCGACCGCGCGACGATGTAGAGGCACGTTGTCCTTTGGATATTTAGAGCGAGAGATATCCGCGCCCCCGTATTTTAATTCGCGAATATTTCCCGGTATGCGTCGCGCGATCGGATCGCGAACGTGTTATTAGAATCGAACCGGTATGGTAGGTAGGCTTTGAATTCGGAATGTATGGAATTTTCTCGACCAAAAATCATATAGCCTAGTTCTATCACATCTCTTTATTAAAAAATCTATATTGAAAATATATAATGAATATATGTTATATTTTGAAAATATATAATAAATACCTATATATATTATTATTAATATTATTAATATGATAAATATGATATTTATATTTAATATAATTAATATGACGTTTATATTAATATTTATTATTATTAATTATATAATATACTAATTATGTATTATAAATTATATAAATTTATGTAATATTTATTAATATATAATACCATATATGTGTATATTTAAGAAATGTTCTCTAAATACAATGCAAATTTTTTCTTATAAGTGACGCGAATATGTATTATAATATCGATTCTCGATGTGGAATATACAGAAAATGAGATGCTCTTCTAAAATCTTATTATTAATCAATTAAAAGTTAATCTGAAAGTTAATTACATTCGGTAAATAACTGGCGAAATGTGGCCGGATCGCGTTATTAGAATCATGGAGGCAAACTGATAATGGAACTCTGAATTTAGAATGTACGAAATTTTTGTCAAAAATCATGTATTGCATCCCTATCACATTTCCCTATTAAAAATATATATACTAAAAATATATATTAAATATATATATATATATATATATATATATATATATATATATATATTAAATATATTAAATATATTAAATATATTAAATGTATATTAATATAATAAATAAATAATATAAATATATAAAAAATTATAATAAATATATGTATTAAACAATGTTCTAGAGATACAATTCAGATTTTTGCCTTTGACAATTTATATAATGCTGATACACATATATTCATTATAATATCGACTCGAAGTAGAATATACAGGAAACGAGAAGTCTTAAAAATTAAAAATCCTTTTCTTTATTAACTAAAAAAGGGTTAACCTAATTGCATTCGATAAAGAAACCGCGAAGTAAGTATATAATTTACGTAAACCTAACCAGAAGTTGAAAATGTACGAATTATCTCACGGAAGTCTATGATTCATACGCATTAATCAGCAGCATGAGCAAGAACATGGAGAAAACCTTAATTTCGCAGAATATGGGGTATATTCCCTCGAAACCTCTCTTTCTCTATCCGCAGAGCGGAATCGAATAAAAGCAGAACGATTAATCGACAGAGAGATATCTGGGGCGTAATAACTCGCGGAAAGATCGCTCTGTGAGAAATCTGATTCAAGAGAGAGAGAGAGAGAAAGAAAAAAGATAGACTTCTTTTAGCACCGATGGACACGGTGGATAAGAATATATGTACCGGGCATTTATGACGAGCGAGGTTGCTCGCAAAAAGTCTAGATTTTCGCCCGATATTTCTTCAGCGCCTTATATACGTATACATATACAGGGTGTCTGACATAAAATGTCACACCGAAAATATACAAGTAGATCTCGTTATTTGGATTTTTTCTCAGCAAAAATGTCGAGGGATGCCATCATTTTTTGCATGTTCCCAATTTTTGTTATCATACCTTTATAACTAAACCTTAAATTAAAATTTTATTAAAGTAAACTCTACCTGGAATTAATTGGAGAATGTGGTTTTGTTAATATCTTATAGTTTGCAAAAAACCCTTTATTTTCAATCGCTTGTAACTCGAAAATTATTGATGCCTGAATATTTTTGCCGAGGAAAAACGGTTTTCAAATAGTTTCCGAAGATCTACTTGTATATTTTCGGACGATTTTTCCTCAACAAAAATGTCGAGGAAGACCATTATTTTTGGCATGTTCCCAATTTTTGCCATCATGTACCTTCATAACTAAATATTAAGTCAAAATTCTATTTAAGCAACCTCTACCTGGAATTAATTGGAGAATGTGGTTTTGTTAATATCTTATAGTTTGCAAAAAACCCTTTATTTTCAATCGCTTGTAACTCGAAAATTATTGATGCCTGAATATTTTTGCCGA